TGTCTTCGGACGGCCCACCCGTTTGAACTAATAAAGTGCCAGGGGCCTAAGTGGTCACCTAAATATTAAAAAAAAAATAAAAATAAAAAATAAAATAGATCTTTTTCAAATGAAAATAATACATACTTTGTATTAGACACAAGTGGTACTGAGGCAAAAGTAGTGTGTTGAAGGTTTGAGATATCATCAGTATTGAAGTAGACATAAGGAAAAATGGTATAGTTACAAAATAAAAGTAAAATCTTATGTTGTGTGAAAGATATAAGTAGCATGACCCAGAGTTGGATTTCAAATGAGTATCGCTATCAATAATCTGTACATTGAGTAATCAAGAAACGTAAAAAGTATAATTAAAAATTTGTAGAAAATACATTGTAAACAATTTAAAAATGGACTTGCGCATATGAGTACATAATTAAATAGATTCTATTTAATAGTTGACAGACTAGATAATTGAAGAACTTTTGGCTCTGTATTTTTTGTAACTTGAAAAATTTGTGATGAATACTGAATGATAATTAGATAGACTTCCTAGTACTATTACACTCAAAATTCTAAAAAAAAACATCTTAGCCAATAATAGAAGTCTTTAAGAATGGCATATTAAACTTTTGATTTATGTATTTATTAAACTGGATATGTTTGGAAGAATAATTTATTGCCAAAAATTACTTAACTTCTCCAGGTATAGGACTATTACTCCAGCTGCTAATATTTATAGATTTGGTATTATTATGATGAAAATGTTGATAGAGCAAAGACCTTTTAATAGTCATAAATTTGATAAATTTAATATTTGTATAGCTATAACAATAAAGACTCACAATGGATTTCATCTGGATCTGCACCCAGGACTCCTGAATGCTATGTAGAATTAGCGAGTAAATTCTCAGAAATAATCTTATTATGCAATGTTTTTTTTTAAAAAAAAATCAAATGTAAGTAAATACCATAAATGGTTATATTATCGCTTCAAAGACCTTTTAATAACCATATTTATGAAATTTGATGTTGATCTAGTACTCCTGAGACTCTCAAGTGCTATATTAAACTAGCAAATCCTTACTATGTAATGCATCCTTTTGTAAAACTAGCGAGTAGGTACATAGATCCCAATTCTCAGAAATGATCTCATTATGCAATATTTTTTTTTAGAAAAAAATCAAATGTAAGTAAATACCATAAATGGTTATATCATCGTTTCAAAGACCTTTTGATAATCATATTTATGAAATTTGATGTTAATCTAACATAAAAATTGGGCCCTGGGACTCTCAAGCACTATATTAAACTAGCAAGTTTATACATAGATCCTGTTTCTACAAATAACCTTACTATGTAATGCATTTTTTTTAAATATAAAGATAAAGTATGTATATACTATAATTGTTATACTATTACTTTGCTTTGTTAGAGCAAAATTTATACTAATTGCTAATATTATGAATTGGGCATCATTATAGCAGAAATATTAACAGAAAGTTGTGAATTTGATGAATTGATGTTGGTTTAGCTATAAAGATACTTTAGATTTTTCTCTGTGGATTCTGATTCACAAGAACAACTTTATTATGTAATATTTTTTTTTAAAGAATCAATATGTCGTCATATATTATTATCACTTCTATATTAAAAAATTTACCATGAACTAATTAAATTATCATTTCTTTAAAATCTTTAAATTGCAGCTCAACCTATTTTTTTTGAAGTTTGACAACTAATTTCTAATTATAATATACAGTAGCAAAATAATCAAAAACTCTGACAATAATATGTCTTCATCTGATACTCCTATTCAAAAAACCAGTGAAAAACCAAAGTCTATCATATGGAGAACACATATAAAGTAAAGAAAACAAATTTCTAAAGGCCACTGGAATACAACATGCAATTATTGTAACCAATATTGGTATAAAGGTTCTCCAATAGCTCTTGAAGACTATTTGGATAACTCATATAATGATGTACCATCAGATATTCATAATTTGTTTTTAACTCAATTAGCAGCTAGAACATTTGAAATTGATGTACCAAAATCAAAGAGACAAAAATTAAATATTTAATCAAATCAGACATGACTTTCAGATTTTATTGAAAATACAAAATTAATGCCTAAACATATTAAGGATATAGATAGAGCATTGATAAAGGCATTTGTTGTTTGTAAAATTCTATTTCACATTCAGAATTCATTTTTTTATTGAGTTATTAAAGACATTATGTTCAGTATATGAACCTCCATCTAGAAATATTTTTTCTGGCTGTTATTTGGTGCAAGAAACAGCATTTGTTAATCAAGCTGTAATCAAAAAATTAAGTAGTTCAATGAATTTAACTGTAGATAATATAAAATTACTTAGCTTTATTAGTATTATTTTTTTATTTATGAAATATTAATAAGCTTTTGTATATTAGCATGCAATGGTTGGAGCAATCCTTTAAATAATTCTATTTGGAACTTTGTTATTTATACTTCAGACCATTGTTAATACTTGTAGTATTTTCAGAATTTATCCAATGAAAAGCATACTCAAGAACTTTTGGCTGAAGAAATATCAAATATTTTGAAAAAAATTGGATCTGAAAAATTTTCTGCTGTTGTGACAAACTTGGGTTCTAATATTAAAGCAGCATGCCATATTATTATAGAAGAATTTCCAAATATTTTGAATATCCGATGCATTTCTCATACGGTGAATTTTATTTCAAAGAATATTTGCAAGACATTATTTGCAGATCATATGCTTAAACGTTGTAATACTATAGTTAGCTTTTTTAAAAGGTGTCATATTGCAGGTACTATAATCTAAAATATTACTGTTTATACGTATTATTAAGTAAAAATTTAAAATATTTATTTTTAAATATAGAAAATACACTTAAAACTTTAGCTGAAGAAAACTTAATCGAAGGAGGAGGTCTTAAGCAGTAGGTAGATACCTGCTGGCATACTATATATGATTATGTATTTTCAATTATCAGACATCAAGTGTCTTTGGAAATAGTAAGCTAAAAGATATAATAATTTAATATTTTTTTAGTATTTTTTTAAAAAAATTAATCAATTATTAATTTATTATTTTATAGATTCATAATAAAGATATTATAAATGTTTCAGTACAAATGATATTATGCTTAAGAGCTTTTTTTGATGATTTAAATGCATTAGAATTTGTACTTTGTTCTATTAAGCTGGCTATATCTACCCTTGAATCACAAAATTGTTCACTAGCAGATTGCTTTATTGGTCTAGTTTATCTAGATGCTGCAATTAAAGACTTCCAGAAAATGATCACCTTAATTTTTGCCAACAAGCAATTGCGATTTTTAATAAAAGATTTATTGAATTTGACAATGATGCATATATTTTATGCTTTTTCTTTCATCCTAAATATATTGGTAATTATTTATTTTATTTGTAATTTTATTTACTTCATATTTATTAAAATTTGTTTAAATTTTAGATGTTTGGATACAAGAAACTTTTTGGTACATTCTTTTTGCAGCAGATGCCATTTATAAAAAAATGAATAAAAAGCCAAAAGAAAGAACAATGCTAATATCTCAAATGAAAAGTTATCAAACCCATGCTCTGCTATTTGATGAATCATTTAATAACAATGAATCTCCTTTAATCTGGTGGTTTTCGCTTGAGAATAATTTTTTAAAACATAAAGATCATATTTGTCAATTAGCTTATAAGCTATTTTCTGTAACACCACATGCGGCTAGATGTAAAAGAATTTGGTCGACTTTAGGGTAGTATTATGGCAAATATTGTACACAACTTTCTTTGGACAAAATTGAAAACATACAAAAGCTTTCTGCTTTTTATTGTGCAAATTCAAAAAATGAATTGCCTTATTATTCTTCTAATATTGAAGATTTGCATGAAGCTTTATCTGATATGAACTTTTTTGAAAATGACGATTATAATAAAGAATCTATTAATTAAGAAAAATTCGTGAATAAAAGATCTATTAATGATGAAGATAATCCTATTTTACTGGAAGAAGAAATATTAAATCTTGATTTAACTAGTTTTACAGATAGTTTAGGCAAAATAATTGTTGATACTAATTTTGAATTTCCTGAAGAGGAAAATATTGTTCAGAATATTGATACTGAGAATGGCGATAAGGAAGAAGAAGATTGGAATATTAAAAATGTGATTGATACAATGTTAGAATAATATAGTTTAATAATATAATATCTAATCACTAAAATAAGGATTAATAAAGTGATTTAGTGTTTGATATTAATTTTTGAAACACATCATAATCAATGTAAATATTTAATTGATCAATTATCATATTATTACTATCAGTTGGGAAAGTGAAATAAATAATTGTCTAGTTTAGTATTTGGGTTTTATAATAACTTATCAAACGTTATAACTCGTATATGTGACTAATTAATTAAATCAGGAACTGGGGTTAATTAATAAATTAAATAGATCAAGGTACACAATTAATTTTAAAAAGTGATACAATTATGATATTTATCAGTATTGGGTAATTATATAAAAATAAATCAATTTTATTATAATTTTTATAACTAAAAACAATTAAAGTCTTAAATTATTGTAAGAGCAAAAAGGCAGCTCTTTTATACTTTCAGATTATATAAATTATTTATTAGACTTTGGTTACTTCTATACTCATTTACCCTTCGCTTATTATTCTATTCCTAGTTATTTATATATTATTGATAATACAGTATTTATAAATATGGGTAGTTATTTTTAAACCAGGACCAATTTTATATATTATATAATAACAGATTCGAAAATAATTAGTTATATGAGTACAGGCAAGAAAAAACCTGTTATAGATTGCCAAACTTGATCTATTTAATCTTGACTAGCACAGAATACAAGTAAAAATCTGATAACAGATTATTCTTTGATAGCATTCATATAATAAGTTAAAGTATTAACCATTTTACAATATTGGATATATATTAATTTATCAGAATATCAGATTTATATTGGATTTATATTGGATTTTTGTCTCAATTTTGGAATTTAGAAAATTTAAGATTTTATTTCGGATTAATTATCAAAATCCAAAATATTTCAGAAATAAAAAACCAATTTCGTCTACAATATTATCCGGAATCTGCACCTTTGCCATGTTTCGTCATAGATTGTGTGACTATTACTCCCTAGCTTGTCTTGATTTTTATACTACTGGATTACCTGCATCCATACTTTTAGAGTTTTTTTTAACCAGTTTTTCTTGTTTCCTTGTACCAGAGGTGTTCTATATTTGGTAAAGCCATTCTTTTACCACAGCCTCTTACTATATTTATCACTTCTCTCACCACTTCTAGATATACCATATATAGCTATTCTCTAGTAATTTTGGCCGAGCTTAATTTTTCAGCTATGACCAGGCCAATAAATTTTATCGGTTTAGTCAGCTTGTTCAAACCTACTGTACTATTTAATTTTGTTCTTTACAGCTATTTTTATTATTTCTGGGACACCTATAAAAAACTTGCCAAAAAATTTTTCAGCTAGTAATTTTTAAAAATTGATATAATACTGTAATATACAGTTGTCCCCCTCTACAGTCATCTCCTTTATAATCACTAACTCTATATAATTACACAGATTTTTACTACAAATTTTTTACTTATAAAAATCCCTATATATAGTCACAAATCATCTATAATCACTATCACATTTTTATATCATTAGTAAAGAAAATATAATATATATTTTTCTTCTATAAAATCACAGATCAGAAATAGTGTTGGTCGTACTGTAGAATTACAGTATTACAGTATTACGGTACTTTACCATAGTAATGACATAAGATTTAAGTGCTATAAATATTATATACCATAATGCCGTAGTGCTGAAAATTTTGATAATTAAGAAAAAATTATTATAGTTGCACCTTCCTAAACATATTTTTATATAATTAATTTAAGTATAAATTGAATTATTTGCTTAATTAGTTCTGGTTTAATCTTAGCTTTCAAAATTTGGGTTTAATCATATTATCATTTTTCTGATCCATTTCATCTAACCAACAGATGATTTTTTCAATAATTTCTTTGCAGTAAGTCGTTTATCAAAATTTTTATCTATACATTTCATAGCTAATTTAATATAACTATCTGGTTCTAACATCTAGATCTTGATCTATTAATAATTTTTCTAATCCATTTCATCTAACCGACGAATGATTGTTTAAATAATTTATTTGCATTTAGTCGTTTATCAAGATCTTTATTTATTTATTTTTTTTTTTAATATTAAGGTGACCACTTAGGCCCCTGGCACTTTATTAGTTCAAATGGGTGGGCCGTCCGAAGAC